AAATTATGGTTTCTGACCTATTTGAATGCACCTGTGTCAATTTTGTTGAAATATTTGCAGAATTGAAAACGTGGAACAGGTTAATTGTTCCTCTAAAGCAGGGTCTGAGACAGAATTAAGCCCTACTGCCCTAAGGAATTCATTGAATGTAATGAATATGCATCAGAATGTACCATTCTAGAATTCAGAAAACAGTCATTCACATAATTTTCCTATGGGATTTACTGGCAAAACTCTGGTTGAGAAAAGCTACTTTATTAAGATATCCTTATTAAATCTACATTAAATTAGTATCTTATCACCTCAACAAATGAGATAACGTAATTCCATTTTCTTCCTCATCCTTGAATCTATTGTCATTTTACTTTTCCTCATGTTATAAATTCATACATTATTTAAACAATCAGTAGTTTTAAAATTTTTCAAAAATTGTATTTTATATCGACCCACCTATTTGCTTTTCCATGTTCTTCAATTTCATTCCATAAATCTGTGCCTCAACTGGGATTATTTCCCTTTGTGCGAAACACTTCCTGCAGTATTCCTTGTAGCTGTAATCTACTGGCAGTTGATCTCATCAGCTTTTATTTTGTCTGAAAATACAGTTAGTGTTTATTATTTCTGCAGTGCTCGAGATGGAACCCATGGACTTGATCATGCTACACGAGTGTTCTACTGTGCTACGCCCCCAGTTCTAAATCTTTACTTTTGAAGGATTTGAAGAGTACATAATTCTAGTTTTGAGTTCTTTGCCTGCTTTAAAGATACAATTTCATTTTCTCCTGCTTTAATGTCTGCTGACAAGACAGCTATGATTCTTTCAAATGTCTTTTTCTTTCTCTTTATTCCTTTAAGATTCTTTAATTTTTTTAACAGATTGACTATGATTTTTGTAGATATGGTTTTCTTTGCATTTATCCTGCTTGGGTGTGCTGAACTTCTTGAATCTGTGGGTTCAAGTTTAGAAAGCACTCATTGTTTTATGTTCTTAGGCTTGCAGTATTTCTGTTAATATGTTTTTGAATTCACTGACTGCCCCTCGCCCCATGTCAAGCCCACTTACAGAATTTATTTCAGTGATAAGAATTTTCACTTCTAAGATATCTATTTGTTTCTACTTTAGATATTCTATACTTCTATACTGTAGTTCTATGTTATTTCATCCATCTAAATTTTTTCTTGTTTTACTATACTTGTGATAATTCTAAAGTCCTTGTCTGCTAATTCCTATTGTCTATGGGCCAACTTATATTGGTTCTTTTTTTCTTCTGATTACTTTAATATTTACTTTTTAATTTTAGTTGGACACAATATCTTTATTTTACATTTATGTGGTGCTGAGGATTAAACCCAGTGCCTTATGCATGATAGGCAAGCACTCTACCACTGAGCTACAACCTCAACCCCTCTTATAATTATTGATAAGATTATCCTGCTGCTTCATATGGCACTTAATTTTTAAAATTGTTTGTGGAACCTCAAAATTTGAAAAAAGAAAAGAGGCTTTCTCCTGGAAGGGAATCACCTTTCTCTGTCAACTCATCAGTTTCAACCATTCAGAGGTTGAGATGGGGCAGTCAGTTTCAGTTCACTTCTGGTTTCAACCATCTTGGGAATAAGAGCTTTCCTGTGACTGTTTCAGGCCATGTGGTCTGTCAGGAATCTAAATACAGAAACAGGAAAAACTCATTTCTTTCTAGGCTGGTGCCCAGCCTCTCATGCTCCTGTACACTCAGCAAAAGCTTCAGGGGGGATAAAAAGTACTGTAAGGAAATACCAGTTCTGAGGATCATCCCTACTACAGTGCACGGTAACCCAGTGAGGCCACACATACTTCACTGGTCTTTCATTCTCCAGTGAAGTTCCCCTGCCTGTGGAGCCTGATCTTCCACCAGCCTGTTCCCAACCAGGGAAAAACAAAGAGGGCCTCATCCTTGTCTGCCCTGTAATTCCTGTACCCTCTTTGTGTCCGAAGATCTCCAGTCTTTAAAGATGTTAAACCACAACTGTTTTGTTTTTCCAGTTGCTACAATGGATTCAGAAGGGTCCAGTAAACCTTCCCCATCCAATCTTTTTTTTTTTTTTTTAAAGAGAGAGTGAGGGAGGAGAGAGAGAGAGAATTTTTAATATTTATTTTTTAGTTGGCGGACACAACATCTTTGTTGGTATGTGGTGCTGAGGATCGAACCCGGGCCGCACGCACGCCAGGCCAGCGCGCTACCGCTTGAGCCACATCCCCAGCCCCCCCCCAATCCAATCTTGAAGTGGAGCTGTATAACTCTGGAACTTTCAAAATCTCAAATCAATCACTTTAGAACCAAATCATTTCCAAATTGAATCTTCCAATAAATGTATTATTTTTAATATTTTTAAATTATTGTTGGACACAATACCTCTATTTTATTTATTCATTTTTATGTGATGCTGAGGGTTGAACCCAGGGCCTTGCATGTCCTAGGCGAGTACTCTACCACTGAGCCACAATCCCAGTCCCGAATGTATTGATTTTTAAAGGTCGTCTTTAATACTAGATTGGCTTCAAAATAGTTTTGGTAAATTGTATTTATTTTTTCCTTATGTTGCCCAGGCTGGCGTCAAACTCCAGGGCTTAAGTGATCATTCTACCTCATTCTCACTCGTGGCTGAGTCTATGACCAGATTCTTTTGGTAAATTTTAAATTATTCTTGTATGTTAGTGTTACATTTCTATTCTTGATAAATTACAAGTTTGTCTTTATTAAGATATTAAAGTTGTTTCCAGCAATTTTACTAAAAAAAAAAATTTGTTTTGATGTGGTGATGAGGCTCAAACCCAGGACCTTGCACATGCAGTCAAGTGCTCTTTAACTGAACTATTCCTGGCCCTAACACTTTCATTATTTCTAATAATTTTTTTATTTTATTTTTATTTTTTTTAAGAGTGAGACAGAATTTTTTAATATTTATTTTTTTTAGTTATCGGCGGACACAACATCTTTGTTTGTATGTGGTGCTGAGGATCGAACCCGGGCCGCACGGGTTTCTTTTTGAAAACTACCTACTTTTATAAATGACTTTTGAAGGCTTTTGGGTTTTATAGTCTTTGTCTTAATTTGTTTTCCTGCTTATATTGTCTTCATATATTGCCAGAATGTGTTCCTTGATTTTCTAAATTCTCAATTGTTTCCATATTGCTTGTAACTTTTATAGGGCAGAATTCAGTAGTACAGCCATCTGTAGATATTTCAGTGTGGAATATTCAAATGTATTATATAATCCTTCCCAAACCCAAAAAGGCATGTCAAGCACTGTGCTATTTCTTTGAAGTAGGTGTTACAAGTTCCTGTCACCTTGGCGAAAACATCTTAGCATGCTGCAGACAGCTGAATTCCTTTACTAGGTTTGGCCTACTTCCTGTCCTATCATTCATATGTACTTTACTAAAGCATTTAAATTTAAAGTACTTGATATTTCCTTCTTCTCAGGGCTAGTCAGCAAATAATCATCAATATAAAGGACAGCTGCAGATGAATAGTGACATGTTACTGCAGGCACAGCATTAACTGAGTACTGAGAAAAGATAATTTGCTCTTATCTTTACAAGTTGGTATGGAGAAAATGGCATTAGTTAGGTCAGTAGGTCACATCTATATAAAGTGAATTAATGAGTGCTTCATTATTAGGGAAAAAGGATGTGCACTACTATAAGAATAAAGGGACACTTAGCAGAAACATGTAAAATCAGTAAACTTATATGCCATCCTATTATGGTGCCTGAAAGTAAAAGAAAGGAGACAATTCTTTAAAAACAAATTATTTGACAATTCAGTTATGGTGTGACACTGTAGCATATTTCTCAATAATTGGCAGATCAAGAGATAGTTTGTAATTATACAAATTAAAAAAAAAATTACCCAATGGATACATGGATAGATAGCCTGTTATATTCAACAATTAGAAAACATAGGTTTCAACCATACATGAAGGATTCATAAAACTTGAATACACATCAGCTAAAACAGCTGGAACTGAAATCAGTTATAAGTGAAACTTCTCACAAGAGTAGTTTAGCTGGGTGCAATGGTGCACGCCTGTAATCCCAATAACATGGGAGGTGGAGGCAGGAGGATTGCCAAGTTCAAAGCCAGCCTCAGCAAAAGTGAGGTGCTAAGCAACTCAGTGTGACCCTGTCTCTAAATAAAAAATACAAATCAGGGTTGGGGATATGTCTCAGAGTCCCTGAGTTCAATCCCTGGTAAAAAAGAGTAGTTTAAACAGTTAGGAGTTTATTTTCTCATATAACATGAAATTTAGAGATAAGCAGTTCAAGATTGGTGCAGGTAGATATTATGTATCCTCTGTTGTGTCATTAATATCTTGTAACTTTTATCCTCTTGATGATGTATTTCTTAGGAAAAAAGAAAGGATAAGAGAAAGGGCAAATGGTGATAAGAAAATGCTAAATGAGATGTTCCTATTTCCATGAGATTCCTTAGAAGCCACATTCAGTGACATCTGTCTTCTCGTTTTAAGGACTGTGGATACATTTGGCCAATCATATCGCTGCAAGGTAAGTTGGGAAATGAGTGCTTAAACACTGTTTCAATATTGCCAAATTAAACAAAATTGTGAGATTTTTATTTTAAGGAATAAGGGGGCAGAGAATGAATACTGGGACAGTAACTAGTTCTATCAGCTACGTACACCACACAGCAAGTTTCTACCAACTTTTTACATTTATCTATATCATTAAGACTATGCATTCTGACCAAAATGAGTTAAAATAAAGTTAACTAAAATATACATAAGATCTGCCTATTAATAAACTCACTTCTAACTTATCTGTGGGTCTAAAATATCTTGGTAGGAATCAGACATTATTTAGTACTAACTTATAATATTACATTATCAAAACTTTTGTGGTGTGAGTCAAGCAGTTTACTGATATATTGTCTTCAATGCTTATAAATTAATGAGTTATGGCACTTTAAGGATGAAACAGTCTTTACTGATAAGAACTAAGAATTGTGCCTCAATACTTTTTCCACATGGTTTACAATACAATTTCTCTCCAGTGAGTTCTAGAATGAGGAATGAGACATGCAGGACAACATAACCTCCTCAAAAGTCATTTCATTCACAGACTTTCTGTCCTGTATGTATTCGCTTGTGCATTATAAGGTTAGTGCTTGTGCTGAAGGCTTTCCCACACTGCATGCATTTATAGGGCTTCTCTCCAGTGTGTGTTCTCACATGTACCCTCAGGCAAGAGGAATTCCTAAAGGCCTTCCCACATTCTTTACACTCATAGGTTTTCTCTCCAGTGTGAGTTCTTCTGTGCACAATAAGATAAGAGCCTGTGCTGAAGGATTTTCCACACTGATTACACTCATATGGTTTTTCTCCAGTGTGAGACCGTGTGTGTTTCTTAAGGGATGACTGATCAATGAAAGCTTTTCCACAGTCAGTGCATTCATAAGGTTTCTCTCCAGTGTGGGTTCTCACATGTTTTTGAAGGGATGAAGGAACAGTGAAGGCCTTCCCACACTCCTTACAATCATAGGGTTTCTCTCCAGTGTGAGTTCTTTTGTGCACATTGAGATGAGAGCTCTGGCTGAAGGATTTCCCACAATGATTACACTCGTAAGGTTTCTCTCCAGTGTGGGATCTCATATGTTTCTTCAGGGAGGACTGAAAAATGAAGGCTTTTCCACAGTCACTGCACTCATAGAGTTTCTCTTTAGTGTGAGTTCTGACACATTTCTGAAGGGACAAAGGGTCATTGAAAGCTCTCCCATATTTGTTACATTCCAAGCTCTCCTCCACAGTTTGTATTTTTTTATGAACACTAAGGGAAGACTTTGTTCTACAGTCAGTGCGTTCATAGAATTTCTCTCCAGTATGTATTTGCTCACATCCTGAGAAGGAAAAGTGAAGGCTGAAGGATACACCACACTGATTACACTTGTAAGCCTTCTCTCCTGTGAGAGTTCTTAAGTGTTTTCTAAGGCATGACTCCTGATTGAAAACTTTCCCACAATCCTTACATTCTAAAGTTTTCTCTGCAGTGTGCATACTCACATGACTTTTAGTAGTTGAGGGACGTTTGAAGCCTTTGCCGTATTCTTTATATTTATAGCATTTCTCTTCCTTGCAATGACTGATACAAATAAGGTAAGGGTTCTTTCTGAAGAATCTTTYTATAGGTTTCTTGCCAGGTTGGGTTGGTACCTATTGAATAAAAAATAAGTGGTGATTAAAGGCTTTCTGACATTAATCTCAACCCTAGGAATTCCCTTCCATGTGGATTTTGCCATATAAAAGTAGTAGATGATTATGACTAATGTTGGTTATGACTTTTTTGTTGTTGTTTTTTATTTTTTTATATTTATTTATTTTTTATTTTTCGGCGGACACAACATCTTTGTCTGTATGTGGTGCTGAGGATCGAACCCGGGCCGCACACATGCCAGGCGAGCGTGCTACCGCTTGAGCCACATCCCCAGCCCATGTTGGTTGTTTTTTAAGGAGACAGAGTATCACTAAACTGCCCAGGCTGATCTTGAGGCTCAAGTGATCTTCCTGCCTTACCCTTTGAGTGCTGGGACTACAGGTATGACTTTTGCTGTATTAGTTTTTCAAGGTGAATAAGCTATTGAGCTTTGTCCAATAGAGTTTCTCTAGTATGAATGAAAAATTAATTATGTATTAAGTACTTAATACTAGAACAATATTTAAGTAAATATTGTGGGTATTATCTGTGAAGCAGCAAGTACTAAATTAGGTTTATAGATTTCTCTAATACTGCCTTCTAGAAGCTTTCTGAATTAGGTTTATAGATTTCGGACCTAGAAACTTTCTGAATTAGGTTTATAGATTTCTCTAGTACTACCTTCTAGTTCAGCTTTCTGAGGAGTAAATGCCTCTTCCTCAACTCATGCCCCTGGATTTTAGAGTAATGTTGTTTTTTACTTGTTGTTAATTCTCATCTTCTATAAAGAACCAGGAATCATTCTTAGCAAACTTTAAGTACTGAGACTGAACCCAGGGCTTTATTCATGGTAGGCAAATGCTATGCCACTGTACTATATCCCCAGACCGTTCTTTTGAGACAGGGTCTTGCTAAGTTGCCCAGGCTGACATCAAATTTGTGATCCTCAGTGTGATACCATCCCTGGCATCATTTCAGGTACATCTTACCATTTTTATGCCATTGGATGTTGTATTCCCAGGAACATTCTGCACAGGAATTGAATCTTTTAGTTGAGTTTCCCAGTCTGAAAAGCATAGGGAAATTTAAAAAAAAAAATTTATTTTTTAGTTGTATTGGACACAACACCTTTATTTCACTTATTTATTTATTTATTTATTTATTTATTTATTTATTTATTTATTTTATGTGATGCTGAGGATCAAACTCAGGGTCTTGAATGTGTGAGGCAAGCGCTCTACCGCTGAGCCACAACCCCAGCCCCGGGGAAATTTTTTTTTAATAATCATTGGGAGAAAAGGCTAGGATGAAAAGAAAAGCAAGCAGGCCCCTGTTGATTGGTTTACAAACCATAATAGTAAATACAAGAAAATGTTAAAGGGAAAATGCATCCAGAGACCAAACCCAAACAAACAAAAGGCTCTGGGAAGAGATGTTAAGAATAGAAACATGCAAAGGAAATGAGAGGAATTTATTTGGCAAGGATTCTGGAAGTTTGAGAAAATAAGATGTGGCATTATCTGGAAAGCAAAATAGGAACAACAGAAAACAAAGCATTCATGAGGTATTGAATTTAAAGAGGAATTAAAACAGTTCTTTCTCTAAGACCTAATGAAAGTATGAATGAAGGGACTGATAAAAAGAAAATCAGTAATGGCTTCACCCTTTTTTCCCCTGCACTGATTCATTCCCAAATCTCAATAGTCAAGACTGTTCCATCCAGTAACTCCTTTCTGCCCAAGACTCACCTTCAAAGGTGCTTTGGAATATTCCTTTCTCCTCTGTCCTCAGCTCTTCTTGTTCTACCTCGGAGATGAGACTGTGTTTGCAGAGCTGATACCCTATATGCGAGGAAAGACATATGACGCGGGGGGACTGTTAGGAGACAAGAAGACTTTCCACAAAACTGATTCTATACTTTGGCCTCAAAGGAGGCTGAAGATGGTTAAGTTCAGCTTTAGAAGTAGTAATAATCAGAGTAGAGCTCCTTCACAAGGCCCAAGAAGGAAACATTCTGTGCACCATAGGAAAGTGACCTTTGAAACTCAGGTCCAAGATCATACACAGACTACAAATTACCTAAAGCTTTTAATGAGAGGACCATCCATCCCATTCTTTTCACAGACTATAATGCAATAAGTGCTTAAGAACTACTTGATTTGTGAACAAATGAATAAATGAATTGCACAAGCCTTACCCACTGAGGCCAGGTTCCTAAAGTTCTCCAGCATCACATCTCTGTATAAAATTTTTTGAGCAGGGTCCAGCAATGCCCACTCTTCCTGAGAGAAGTCCACTGCCACTTCCTGGAAGGTCACTGAATTCTAAAACATCATATACACAATCTGGCTCAGCCAATGACTTATCTTCAACAATGAGTTGGGGAAGATGGATGAAGCTGATAGGACTGGGGAAGGGATCCAAGGCATTGAAAGCCAGGACAAGTGTCTGAGGTCTTCTGTTATAGCCCCCAGGCTCAGTTCTCATTAAATCTTCATCCCCTGGGCCATCTCATCCAGGCTTATAGCTTTAGCAGGTTTTTAAAGACATGGTTGACCTGATCTTTGCACAATTAGGTTGTGTGGACTCTTTGTCTTACTTAGATCCTACATAGATAGGGCGGGCTGCAGGAATAAAATACCTGAGAAATTAATAATGTTTTTTTTTCCTAGTGGAATTTTTCCCATAGACCCAGCAGAGTATGGAATCCAGAATTCATACTTCATCTGGATGAGAATCCAAAAAAAAATTTAAAAATGTAGTAGCTTTTCCTGACATTCCCTCTTAAAAAGCCCACATAATGGGGAGAGGACTGGGTCAGCCACAGCTGGGGTGTAAAACTGCAAATCATGCATAAGAGATGTGCTTAAAGCACAGTAACATTTTATTGGAAACTGAATTATTTCCTACATACCTGTGACCAAGCTGGCAGCAATCCTGCAGCCATTCTTTCTCTTGGATATTTCTGCCCTAGCTGGACATGGTCCTAAGCAAACAGAGCTAAAAGAGAAGAAAGATGTTCATATTCAACACCTACAGATACAGAAGCTTCCTTATATTTATATAAGAGTTAAGATTTGTTTTCCTATGCAAGAACATAGTATAATTCTTTTCTTTTTCTTTTTTTTTTTTTTAATATTTATTTTTTAGTTTTCGGCGGACACAACATCTTTGTTTGTATGTGGTGCTGAGGATCGAACCCGGGCCGCACGCATACCAGGCGAGCGCGCTACCACTTGAGCCACATCCCCAGCCCCATAGTATAATTCTTACATAATATGTACTTACTAATTTTTCTTTTTGAACTTCTTTCTGGCCTGAACCACTGCAAAGGCTTGTAGTCAGTAACAGTTAAGGAGCAGTGTATCTTTATAGTGTCAAACTGTCTCTAAATGCCACTTACTCATGCAGAAATCAGGACTTACTAGGGAAAGAGCCGAGTACTATACAGAACAACAAATCTTCAAGGTAGATCTAAAGTATTTTGTACCACACCCTTGGTTTAAACATCTTTAAAATGGGACATACCTCTTAGGGTTGGACTGAGTAGTTAATGTATGTCAATTACTCAGTTCAATAACTGGCAATCCATAGAGGTTGGTAGAAATTAGAAATTATCATTTGCCTGTATTTCCTTTTAGGTGAAYATATTTTCATTTAATAATAAAAGGATCATACTACAGAACAATGTTCATCACACTTAGCTGTATAACTGAAGTCATCAAAATTTAATACTGCCAAACCTGACAGCAGAGCTGGGATATGAAATCAGATCTCCTTCACTCAGAGCCCACCTCCAAGGCCCTGACTGCAGGTGCCTGCACCTGATTATATATTATCTCCTGAGAAATCCTACTTTTGTGCATATTTCTTGACACACTTAGCTTAACTATCTATCGATGAGAATACCTCATGGTAGTCTAGGAGGCCAGCAGAGAAGTTCCAGCACACTGCTGGAGAAAAAAGAATGATTATGGATATGTTGAACATAGTTTGCTCCCTAATTGCATCATAGAAAACAGTGAATCCAAGAGCTTTGTGTAGGCCAGCTTGACCCTATGGAATTGGAAGAAGAAAGACAGATTTGAACATTTCAGGACACTGGCCTAGGGAAAACAAATGGGAGACTCTCAATCAAGAAGGCGTGTAATTTTTTTGGCGGGGAGGTACCAGAGATTGAACTCAGGGGCAATCAAACACTGAGCCAATCCCCAGCCCTATTTTGTATTTTATTTAGAGACAGGRTCTCACTCAGCACCTCACCATTACTAAGGCTGGCTTTGAAATGTGCAATCCTCCTGCCTCAGCCTCCTGAGCCGCTGGGATTATAGGCATGCACTGCCGTGCCCCGCAAGAAGGCACATAATTTTAAGATGAAAAAAAAATTTCAGTTCTTGGAGATATAAATAATGGAAAGAAGATGTTAAAAATGCAAGACCACTCAATGCGTGTATACTTTCAAAAACTGACCTGAAATAAAGTTTTCTCTTAACCCCCCCCCCCAAAAAAAAACAAATTGAGAGATTTGGCTGTTTTTAAGAGTTTGGAAATAATAAGGTCTGTGGTCAAATTGGTAGATTATGAAGAAATAATTCCCTAAAAATAAGATTGGTAATTTTTTAATTTTTTTGATGCTGGGGATTAAACTCAGGGCTTCATGTATGCTAGGCATACATGAAACCCAAAGTCTTTTATCCAGTCCCCTAAACACTAAAATYGATAATAAAACAGTAACAGGCATAATCAGGGAAACTAAGTTGAAAAGAAATGGACAAAGAGCTAAGTGCAAATGATAAATTTCTTTCATCTTACTGACAGATCAAATGTTTTAAAGATGGATGGAAAGTGATGGAAGTTACCAAAGCAACCTCAGAAACCAAATGGACTCAATATTCTCAGGAAAAAAGTATATCTTCAAAAGCTTTCTACTTAACATTTCCAAATGTACTGTACATCTTATAGATAATGGCTGTTTCTCATAAAGAATCACATCTTCCTTTTATCTCACCTTGGAGAACTTTCTCCATTGTCCTCAGCTCTTCTTGTACCACATGAAAAGTCAGACCAGGTCTACGTGGCTGGTTCCCTGCTCTTAGGGAAAGCGACATGATGTAAGAAGAATGTGCAAGGGATGACAAATATTTCCATAAACCAAAGGCCAAGATTCTGTTTTTCTGGCATTCTGACCATTGTCAGGCATAACTTGAGAAATAACATAATCTTTATGCTCCAAGTAGTCAGCCAGTGAGCTTTCAAGTGAACTACAAATACAAACAGTCTATATTTCTCTTTCATTGTGTAACAAAAGAACAGTGATCTTTCCTCTGAAACATAGGCTTAAGCTTGTACAGTTATGAAGCCTTTTATCCATGGAGAAAACAAAGACAGTACAACAAATAGAATTCCATTTCTTATGAGAAAGTCACTAGACAGTAAGTCTATGAAAGGAACACCTTTGGTTTGTTTATGATTGCATTGCTTTTAATATGCAATGCATATTAAAAGAAGACCCTAGAATATGATACTTAATATTTATTCAGGAAAAACTAAATTGAAGAAATGGTACCAACCTTACCAAATGGAATTAGATTCTTGTAGTTCTTTAGCATCGCATCTCTGTATAAGTTTCTCTGAGTTTGGTCCAGCAAAGTCCATTCCTCCTGGGTCAAGTTCATATCCTCAAAGGACACTAAGTCCTAAACCATCATAGACACACTGTGTGAGACAAGGAGCATCCCCACTATGTCCTTTGGAGAAGAATGAGGGACCCAATGCTTTGAATAGGTTCCATGGTCTTCACTGCTCTTCTCTTTTCTATCTGTTCATATTTAGTAGTGACCTAATTTAGTCACATGGCATCTCTTTCACCTGACTGTATCTTACCACGATAGACTGTGATCCATTTTGGCCTTATTTTTCTCTACTAACAGGTTTTAATGTAGTCTTGAACACATTATAGGCACTCAAATAAATGCATAAATGATAKCATAAAATTCTCTGAGAGAAGTACATGTTAATTCTCTCCTTTGCAGTCTATCATAGTAAAATTAAAGAATGAAAAACATAAATGAAATTCAGAATGAATTGGTAAGTATTGGAAAAACGGCATCACTTCCCTATGTAATCTGTTAACCACATGAGAGGCTATAACTTGAGGAAATCTGCCTGGAAACTTAGTCCCTAAGTCCTATTTGTTTGAAGAAACTCTTTTCCACTCAGGGGAAATACAGTTACTTGATAGGAAGCAGCATACTTTTCCATAGAAAAGTCAATTTCCTACTTACCTGAGAATGATTTGTCAGCCACTCAGTCACCATATTTTCTTCTTCTGATTTTGCCTCATGAAGACATAAAAAGCCTTGAAGATCCTGAGAAGAGGAAATAAAACTTGAGAACCCAGGATGCCCACAGTTTTCTACTCACAAGCCTGGAAGGCACTTCATACAAATTCTAAGTGGACACAAATTCTAAGTTGCCTTAAAATGCTGAGCAGCCTGTGATGTGTGTGCCAGAAACAGTAGCAGCATAAGTTATTATCATTATGGTTTGAACATGAGGTGTCCCCCTAAAGTTGTTGTGTTAATGAAAGAATATTCAGCAGTGAAATGATTAGATTATGAGGGCTGTCACCTCATCAGTGGATTAATCGATTTGATGCATTAGTAATTTGAATGGAATAGTAGGTGGTAACTATAGGCAAATGGAGTGTGGCTGRAGGAAGTAGATCTCTGGGGGTGTGCCTTTGGGATTATATTTTGACCCCCGCTCTTTAATCTCTCCATTTCCTGGCAACTTTTCCCCAGCCCRTCCTTTTGCCATGATTCTGTCTCTCCTCTGGCTCAGAGCAATGGATGGACTKACCATGGACTGAACTTCTGAAACTCTGAGCCCAAAATAAACTTTTCCTCTAAATTATTCTTGTCAGGTGTTTTGGTCACAGTGACAAAAAGGTGATTAACACAACTAGATATAATCTATCCCTAAAGAACCTACCAAAAACAAAACAAAACAAAACAAAAAACCAAACCAACTATTTACTACTGCAAGACCAAAAATTAATACATAAAAATCAACTGGGGTGGGTTGGGGATATAGCTCAATTGGTAGAGTGTTTACCTTCATGCACAATGCTGTGGGTTCAACCCCCAGAACTACCATCACCACCACCACCACCACCACCACCACACACACACACACACACACACACACAAGTAAATAAATAAAATAAATCAATTGGGTTTCTATAACTAATAATGAACTATCCAAAATAGAAATTAAGAAAACAATCCCATTTCAAGAGAATCAAAAACAATGAAATACTTCGGAATAAATTTAACGAAGATGATCAAAGGCCTGTACACTGCAAATATACAATGTTGAAGAAGACAGATATAAATGTAAAAATATTCTGGATTCACAGATTGGAAGAATTAATGACCTAACACCTGATTTGGGGATGTTTGACATCCAGAGACTGGCGTGCCCTTTTTGCTTGAGAGTCGTCAAAAAATTAGCACCCAGGTAGCATGAAAACCCTCTGTCTTGGTTTGAATTCTGACCGTGTCCTTATATACTAACCACAATGATTCCTTGCATGATCGAACTTCATTCAGGCTCTTGAACCTTTTCTGAAGCTCACCTGCACAGCTCCTTGTGAAACCCAGTTTTAGCAAGAACCCTGTTAAGTCACGGTATCAAGAACTCCCGTCTTCCTAGACACTCCTCCATTTTAAAGCCCAAGGGGTGAGCTGGGCAGAGCCCGGTGGTAGAGCGCTGGCCTAGCTGCGTAAGGACCTGAGTTCCACTCCGGACACACGACCACCAAAAAAGGCTCTAGGGAATATACAGGCTCTGAACTGGGACAGAGGTGATGATTTGGGAGCAGTGTAGGCCTGCTCTTCTGGGCGACCACCCTGGGTTTATTTATAAGCATTCCACCCACACTTGTCCTTGGTGATCTGATGCACGCGCTCCCTCACAACCTCAGCACGTCTCCCTTTCCCCCGTCCAGAACCGACACCCACAACCAGAACAATTCCAAACGCTCACCGAGACACTAACTGCCAGGCTGGTGAAGCCAGGAGGCAGCCAGAGCCGGAGTCACCGTGGCCTGGTCGGCAGGGATGTTACTGAGGAGGCTTCCGAACAAGGAGCACAGCGCCTAGCAGAGCGCGCGAACCCGCCCGCGCCCGGGGACCCAAGCACCCCAGCGGCCGCTTACACTCAGGCCGGCGCAGCGGGCCAGGGCTCTCGGAGACAGTGGGAAATGTGGATCCCGAGCGCCCACGGGAGGCCGGAGCACGCAGCACTTCTCTTTTAGACCCTCCCACTCCCAGGTGACCGCTCCCGGCAGGGTCAGACTTTGAGAGCTCTGAGAGAGAAACTTACCTTCAACGCGGGAGGAAGCCTGCGGTCAAGAAGGTTGCCACCACGCGCACGCGCAGACCCAGGCGGGTGGCGCACGCGCAGACGCGCAAGTTCTGCAGGGGGCGTGGCTCCGGAGGAGGGGCTGGTGGAGGGTCGACTTCCCTCTCCTTCAGTCCAGTCTTTGTTGTCAGCAAAGACGTGGATTGGCTTGGCCAGGAGGGCGAACACCTGATTTTGGGGTCATTTGACACCCAGAGTCCAGCGTGGACCTTTTGCTTGAGAACTGTCAAAAAATTAGCACCTACGTAGCATGAAAACCCCTCTGTCTTGGTTTGAATCCTGACCCTGTTCTTATATACTTACCATAATGATTCTGGGTATGATCAAACTTCAGTCAGGCTCTTGAACCTTTCTGAAGTTCACTGGCACAACTCCTTGTGAAACCCGATTTTAGCAAGAAGGCTGTTAAGTCAGTTTATCCAGAACTCCTTCCTCCCAGTCCTCTATCTGATCATCCTTGATATTAAAGAAAAATCTGAAAATGAAGTTTATTTGAGAAAGAAAAAGGCTCTAAAACCCACAGGAGGTGTTCCAGATTGAAGATGGTTCTGTTAGACGCTAAGCGAGGTTCTCGCACCTTTTTACCAAAGCGTCCTTTTTGTTTCAGCTAAAACTTTCTGGAGAAACTTACTAAGAACCAGCCAAGGTGACCACGTCAGTCATTCTTTTAGGCACCCAGCAGTAAACTTGGCTCACTGTAATACTGAACTGAGTAGACCCAGAAACGCCAATGTCTGCCATCCTTCCTTCCAGTTGAGCATGCTCAGAAATGTGCCCACCCCTACATGCGATTGTCTGTATAAATATATATAGGTTCACAAAATAAAATGCACATACTTCCTTTCCTCAGGGAGAGCATTGCTTTGCAAATAACTACAAGTGCTTTCATTCCTCACTGAGGGTAACAAATCCTTCTCTATTTTTTTCTTTGGGTACTAGGGATTAAACCCAGGGGCACTTAACCATTGGCCACAACCCCAACCCTTTTAAATATTTTATTTAGAGACAGTGTCTTGCTGAATTGCTTAGGATATCACTAAATTGCTGAGGATTGAACTTCAATCCTCCTGCCTCAGTCTCCTGAGCTGCTGGGATTACAGGCATGCACCCCATGAGCCARCTTTTTCTATTCATTACCTTCTGGTTGTGCTCACTGGGTCCACATTGATCAAGAAAAGAACCTATTACATTAGGTTATAATTCAGAGTGCCCCAACCAAGTCTGCCCACTATATTTATTTATTTATTTATTTTTATTTAGCTGAAGAAAAGGAAGTGAAATGCAGAAACAATCTGATTGGCTACAGTTAGCATTTGCCKTATATGCACTTGGTTGTTGAAGCATCTGCTTYACATGAGCATGGGCTGATCAGGTGGCAGCCTGTGGGTGGCTGAAACTTGATTACTGTGATTCGATGAGACTCCGGTTGTTAAGGTTAGACCCAAATTGCTTACTCATCAAGCTACAATCCACTTCACAGGGGCTGTTTGAGGCCAAACTTAATTTAACAATATCTAATCAGGTTCTTAGCTTTTAACATCCTGGTGATGTATGATCACTTTGGCCTGTGTTTAGCAAGAAATCTGTTAGGWTGGWTGAACCAAAWTTCCCCTTTTATCKGTGATARTTTCCTCTTAGTATATTCCTTTCTGACTTCCCCTCCACACAACCAATGGATAAGGAGATAAGATGATATCTGAGATAAGATCTTTCTGGAAATTGATGTATTCTTTGGCTTTCCTGTCTTTGCAGGAGAAGATTTCAAGCAAGACGTGAAACTTAGCAAAAGAATAGCAGAATTTATTAGAAGAGAAAGAAGGGGAAAATACCCTCACAGGAGAGAGTGCTTTCTCTCAGGAGAGTGACAACTCACTTCTTCCTGAACTCAGTTTTTATTAGGACAGAAGGGAAGGTTTCTAGAGAATCCCACCTAAGTGTTCAACCACAACTCAAAGAAAAGACCATCAACTCCAATTTAAATCAAATTAAAGCAAGCTTGTAATTCTGACAGGCCAAAACCCGTGGGAATAGTAGACAGCCCTCCAGCTCTCTAGGAGTGTAGCTTTATAGCACAGAAAGTTGCAAAAAGGGGAGGTGTCTTGAGAACTTACAGATAACACGATTTTTATAAGCATAACACAAAGGTAGGTAGTAGATTTAATGGTCCAGCACTTAGGGAGTAAATTTAGATCCGAACATCAGAATTTATGAGGCGCCATTACAGCTTCCAAGAGGGTCATTATCTGGCCAGGAAAAGCCAGAATTTATGAAGCACCACTAATGTTTCAGAGAGGGTTGCTATCTGGTCAGGGAAATCCAGGCATGGGTGAATTCAAGGCACAGGCAGGCATTCCAAGCAAGTTTAGAAATCACAGTAATTTATACTAAAGCCAAAATGGGCTCACAAAATAAAATGTGACGAGATGGTTCCCACTCTTACGAGGGACTTAGGCTGGGTTTATCACTAAGCACAACCTCTTTTGACTGATGGTAGGATTGTATCATATTTTTTAGWCCCTACTGTGCATGTTTCTACTGAACAGAAACTCTAGGTCATTTTGGTTTGTGTAAAGTCAAAGATCCTCTTTCATCCAGATCCATCCCACATCAGTGTAACTTGCGCTTTTTTCTTTGATTTCCTTTTCTTTTTCTTATTAGTAAAGGAGTTTTGGGGCCTGTGCTCTTCAGCCCTAGATAAAAGAATGTGACAGTGGTCCATGTCATGTTTTGAATATATCCCTTGTTGCTTTTCCACTGAGGCTTATTTTAAAGCTGACTTTCTTTTTTTCTCTTCTCCTTTTTCCCTTTCCTAACTTCTGGGGAAACAGGTTTACCCTTTTCCTATCCTAGGCCCAGTTATCTGTCCTTGAGCACACATCAATCACAGGAATGAAGTAAATAGATCTCTGGGGATGGAACCAGAAGATTTAAGAAATGATTATCTCTCAAATTAACAAATTAATTACATCAGGGTAAATGTGGACAGTAGCCTTTGAATCACCTCTTTAAAAACCTTCTGTTCCCTGGATAGGCAGAATCATAGMCTATCAGGACAAGGACCAGAACATCCTGAAAACAATAAGCTTGTTAGTCAAGGATTGTAAATACTGCTATCTTTTATTAACAGATTGTATTTTTCACGTTTATTTTTATGTGGGGCTGAGAATTGAACCCAGTGCCTCACACATGCTAGGCAAGAGCTTTANTTATCTCTCAAATTAACAAATTAATTACATCAGGGTAAATGTGGACAGTAGCCTTTGAATCACCTCTTTAAAAACCTTCTGTTCCCTGGATAGGCAGAATCATAGMCTATCAGGACAAGGACCAGAACATCCTGAAAACAATAAGCTTGTTAGTCAAGGATTGTAAATACTGCTATCTTTTATTAACAGATTGTATTTTTCACGTTTATTTTTATGTGGGGCTGAGAATTGAACCCAGTGCCTCACACATGCTAGGCAAGAGCTTTACCACTGAGCCACAACCCCAGCCCAAATATACTGTTATTATTTTTAAAACACAGCTGAGTTAGAATGGCCTTGTGTGAATTGTTTCAAAGAARGACATGCTGAGAGTTAGCATGTAGGCTCATGTAAGCAAAAATAACTGAAAACAGGAGTGGACCTCAGCTCAGCAAGCTTCTTTATTAAGCAGTAGTGGAATGGCACATTTTCAGGGGAGAAAATGGTGACTGGTTAAAAGAGAGATCTGTTTTTTATAGATCTTAATGAGAGTTATTAATAGCAGAAGATTTCGTGTGACTTAATCATGAGAGACTTGAGACATGTTGGCTGGACAGTCAGGAAACTAGTTGTGCAGGTTAAAAATCTAAGTCAGGAAAACAGTTGTAAAAGCTTGAAACTCCTTGTTACTGGGATAATAATCCAGAGCCCAGAGCCCATTTGTTTGCATTCTCCTCCAGGATACTGAGAAAGGAGGAAAGACCAGAGAGAGCACAAGGTACTTTGTTTGCCTTTTCTCTCCCAGGACCCATTGTCCTCCCTCAGCCCTGGGGGTTGTCATTTCCCTTTTCTAGGGACATGTTGTTTTCCATATTCTTCACTTATATATAGAATTAACCCTTTAAACACCATGTTCCCACTGCTCATGTCTACCTAGAACCACCACCATGTTCYTTGGCTTATAAATTTCCACTTATCTGTGCTGTATTCAGAATYGAGTCCAGTTCTATACTGAGGTCTCTACTCCCCTACTGCAATTGTCCTAAATAAAATTTGTTCTGGGGTAGGGGTATAGCTTAGTGGTAGAACACTTGCCTAGCATGTGCAACACATTGGTCTGATCCCTAGCATTGAAAAAAAAATTTCTTTACTG